TTTTTTATTATTTCTATGTTTAAACAAATAAAGCATAAATAAATGAATAGATAAATAAATAGATAAACAAACAAACAAACAAACAAATAAATAAAAATACAAGAGTCTCCTATACCTCAAATAAGTTTTAGATCAGGGGTCTAGAAATTATTGTTTAATGTAAAAGGATTTTTAAATAAATAAATGAATAAATAAATAAATAAATTCAGAAGTTTTTTTTTTTTTTAATTGACCCTTCAAAATTAAAATGCAATAGGTAAAATTACAAATGTAAGTGTAGAAGTATATGTACTTTGACAATAATTATTCCAATTATTTTGCAATGGCAGCGTAAAAAAAAAAAAAAAATGTAAAGAGGGTGATATGGTACAATGTGCATATTAGTATAGGTGCCAAAACTCTAAAGGAAAAGACCCCCTAAAGGAAGACTGAGGGTAGAGTCTTAAATCTGGATTAATCCAGAAACAAAACTTCAGATGTCAAATCAGTCATAGGTTCAGTGGTATTTGCTATCATGCATTGCACACAAGCCAAGCAAGTTGTAAACCCCCTCTGCATTTTCCCCAGGCTCCCTCTCTACGTAGGCCACGGGAATAAATCATTAATGGCTTTTTTGGAAAAGAAGCTGTATGCAGTCTCTCATGCCCTGTCGTCAACCTGAAGTCCTTGGCTCCCTTTCAGAACGGTTTTATTGCCCCGAAATTGCGCGGCTTAAATCGTGTACCCATCGAAAGTAAAACACAGCTGTAAATCTGGTCTATGTCTATTCCCCTCCTAGTCCCCCCCACCGCCACCCATCAAATATCCATACACAATTCATTTAGGGCAATTTAGCTGATGCTAAACAGAATCAAGGTGAACTTTCAATGGGCCCTCGGCTATGAGAGAGGAGGAGCAGAAAAATGGTGGCCTAGCTTTGGGGGGTTTTAATCAACCAGCTCCTCAAGGCTAGCCATCCAGCCATGGAGCAGCCGCACTTAGCAGATGAGTTTTTGTGTCGCTAGCCCGAGTGCATGTTCTCTAATCCTTCAGCCTAAAGTGTTTCGGTATTGTAAAATATGGCCACACTGGTGGAGAGAGCTGCCGGCTACACGAGATTAGAGTCACGATTAAAAGCCTACGGAATCCTCCTCGACTGCCAAGCGCTAGCTGGAGCGCTAGTCACGGCGCAGTCTGCAGCCAGAGATAAGATGGAACTTTTGTTTGAAACCTGATGAGAGGCTTCCTAATGAAAGTGCTGGCCCAAAAATAATCTTTTTTCTCTGTGTTAGTCAATCAAAAAACAGTGTGGTCGGGGACGGTGAAAAAAAATAAAAAGTGGGGGAAAAAGAAAAGTCATTTTGCATAATCAGTGAGCACCATCTGGAACAATTAACGAAATTCCACAGAACTTGGAGGATCAGTCATAGTGGCTTATTAAAGATCCTGAATTATAGGAGCAATAAATCCGTGGAAAAATGAAGCGTACCCCGGCCTGTCATCACTATTTTAACTTCAAATACGCACGAATATTCGATAAGGCTGAAAAGAAGAGATTAATATATGCAAATTAAGTCAAGCATTTTAAAAACCCCCCAACAACTGTCTGCCATTTTTTTCCTGTCTCTTATTACGAGCCTTTATGTTTTATTCATACACCAGCTCACCTGTCATTTCATAAGCTCTAATATTATGGGGGTATTATTAAAGTGCGCAAAGTGGCGCTTTAATTGGAAAGCTCTGTTGCATTTTCCAATTATTTGGAGCAAATTAAAAGCAGATGCACATACTTTAATAAGGGGACTAATAGCAGTTCCGGAAAATCAAAAATCATTGTCACTCGCTCTGATATTTTGCAAACTTAAGGTAATACTGAAACATCTCTGTATTTTTATCTTTCTCTCCAGGCACCTCTTGATTGATCTTCCTTTAATACACCAAGGAATAATTGATTGGCATTATATATAATCTTTAATAAAGGCATTGTCATTATTTTTGTGATTAATGCAATAGATATGTTACTTACATAGGGGATATTGAATATCTGTGTTATTATGAGTATCTGTTGCTTTTTTTTTTTTATAGACAAGAATGAAAATGACAAGTGGTAAAAGTCAAGCTCCTTACCACATATAAAAAAGATATTAACAATATGAAGTTCCCTTTACAAAAAACATTTAGAGAATCACAGCTCATACGATGCTCATTTCTGATAGACTAAGTATTACTTCATTAATACTCCCAAAAAAGAATGTATTCAAATCCATCACCTCACAGATGTTGCAAACGGACTCTTTTTCACTCTGATTCCTTTGCTAATTAGGAAATATTTCCTTCAAGCCATCAAGCTAAATGAAAAATAAATGACACCAAAAATCTGCTCAGCTTCAAAGAGGCGGTGGTGAAACAAAGTAAGAGGTTGTGAAGTCTAGAAAGACCCAACTTGTTAAAATGAGCGTGGACTGTCAAGTGAATGAAGGTTGCCAAATCTATGTGAATTAGTTTTTAATACTCTGCTAATAAATGTCAAAGCACCGGCACCTCAAATCCGCACATAATGTGGCTGACGATGACAGATTCCCAGACATGTCGAGTCTCCTGCGCTAGACTAGTCTTTAATGCGCTGGTCTTTTTTTTTTTTTTTCATGGGTGGTTTTTT